AAGAAGATCAAGTCCGCGACCGGCCCGGAAGCGTTCAACTTCGAGGCGAGTGTTGTCGTCGTTTTTTCGGGGTCCTCTTTTTTCGCAGCTGGTTTGGGATCGGATGATGCACGACGTCATTTGAGCGTGTGTATGTGAGAGGGGGTATTTGGAGGCTAGATGCCCTCGCCTTGGATGGTGGGTTTACAGTACGCTTGTTGGAACGCCGCCTTATCTGTCGTAGACACGGCTTTCGTGTATCAAACATGCGACGCGCAGCGAAAAAGCTTGCGCGTCACACTCTTTCATTTCGCGTGGTAGATATCGTGTAGGGGATCAGAGTTCTCCGTAGATTGATTTTTGTTACCCCCCCCCTCCCCCCCCTTCCCAACGACACCTGTTTAATGTCCGAATCACTGGATGCCATGATGTCGGGGGTGTAAGTCGAAGGATGCTGCAGTGGTTAGGCCGGCGTAAGCAGCCTCTCGCCGTTCCCGACGTTGCTGGTTTATCCGTGTACCTTGGCACGAACACAGCATTGCATAAAATCCTAGCACAGTGGTCTAAGTAATGTTGACTGTATACTGTTTACCCCGTGACGCCCCTCACCATTGTGATCGTCACGACGAAATGGTGCAGCCCCCCTTTGCCAAAGCAGGAAGGGACGATTGGCCGACGGTGATAACAACAATGCTCCGTCCTCTCGAGGACCCTTGGCCAATGGTCTAATAGCTAATTCATCCAAAACATGAGTACCCATCCCCCCCTTTCCATACCTCCGTCGACCGTACACCATCTTTCCTTTTTATTGCTCCTGTCCGGCACGACAGGAGTTCGCGGACGGAGAGATAATTTTCCACCGGGGGGACCAACATTCCACGTGCTACTTCGTCCACAAGGGGGTGGTGCGACTGGAATGGGCAGACGGAACAATCGAAACAAAGGTCAGTTTTATGGTGTAATAAAAGCGCGTGTCTTTGCCATCTATCTACTGCTGTTGCACGTGGTGGGTGGCATATAGTTGGGGGGAATAGCGGCTGAGATTTGATAGACTTTGATGGTGTAGCGCTATGTGGCGAGAACGAGGGCTGGTGTAGCGCCATCGGAGCCACGGCAGTCTGCGGCCGACACGTTGTGAGCGGGATCCCGCGACAACAGTGTCAGCCTCTCCTTCGTACCGAGCCACGTACTTGACTATGAGCAAGATGCCGGCTCGGCGATACTGGCCCCTCCCATACACGCGGAGAGAGATGGTTCCGACAGTATCTATTTGTAGGATTTGCTTTTATCGGTTCGCACGTGCTGCTCTCTGGTGCGCCCAATTTTGTTTCGAGGTCGCCGTTTTGAACCGATTTCTGCCGTTCTGTCGGCTCCCGGACGGGAAGAATGTACTCAGCACGTCCCGATCGTATCGCGCCATGCGGTGCGCTGTGTCAATAGCTACCCGCGCTGGACCGCCGGCATATTGTTCCGGAAATGATCCATTTTTGGTTCTCTCTGGGTTCTGTATGACGTCATAATCAAGTGGTCAGAATGATGCAACACGGAGGCGCAGCAAGCCACTCGTTGCATATGGCAGCGTGTCTCTACCTCGCTCACAACTCTCAGCAGTCTCGATCTCCCACAGCTCTGAGTCTTTGTTTCGTTCTTCTTACGGCTCCCGGACGCGAAGACCGGCCCCCCGTGGGGGGTGGGCGAAGCACCCCTTGTTTTAGTCTATATTTGTCTGCCGCTTCTCACACACACACCCGCGCGTTTTTCTGATTTTTGTTTGCAAAATCTGTATTAAAATTAATGTAACAACCCAGGAGACGGGGGAGATGTTTGGCGAGGAGGCCCTGGTGGTAAACCTTGCAACATCGGCCACGGCAATCGCGGAAGGCCCGGTGTCGTGTGTGGGCATGGATCGGGCCAAGTTCACGGAGGTGAGAGAGATTTCCCGGGTGGGTGGGGCACGTGATGTTCACAAGGAACCGACCGGTCGGTCTGCCGTGTAGGGGTCGGTACGAGCGGCCTTGCCTTGCTGGGGATGGGTGGTGTCTTGTTCTGCCGTTCCGGCGTCGTTTTTCTTGCATGCAGGTACACCGACGCCTTTCTGCGCCCACTCACCTACCCCCTCCCCACGGGTACTCTCTCTCTCTCTCTCTCTCTCTCTCGAAAAACGGGACGGTACAGGAACACGGAACGCTGGAAAACCTCGGGATGGTGTTTCTACGCCTGCAGCGGTCGGGATCCTTCTACACGGCGGACGCGCCCCCTTCCGACGGAAGCCGGGAAGGCAGCCGCCGCTCCAACTTCAACCTATCCGTCGGGGGCCGCAGCGCGAGGGTTCTGTCCGGGGTAGGGGGGGGGGGGGGGGGGGGGGGGGGGCCCGCCCCCCCCAAATCGTGCCGGGGGCCGTCTCAGGAACTGTTCCCCCCCACCGACTTGGAGCTCCCCCAGCGTTGGGGAAATCGGGGCACCCGGAAAACTGCTGCTGCTGCTGTCGCGGGGGCGGGCCGAAAAAACTCTAACCAGTTTGGGTTTTTTCAACAAGGGGGTTTCCCAAAAAGGGGGGGGGGACCCCCCGGGGG